ACATGGAAGAAATGTTTTTGCCAGGGATTATTTCAACCAACAAGAAAAAGAAAAAAGAAGTATTATGTTTTAACAAAAATACTTGAAAGGAGGAAGCATGAAATCTAGTCTAATCTACACCAATTTTATTAAGATTTTGATTTATTTCAAGTGTATGAACATATATGTTCCTACTACCAGTTATCTTTTCTTTTGTACCTCTGAATGAGAATTGTCTGTGATTGTTTGCAGGCAAGGAGAGGTAGACTCTTTGCTCACTGGCTCAAATGAGAATTTGGCTTCCTCTTGAAATTCAAGGAGAAAAATATAGTGCTGCTCTTGAGAAAATATTATCATAAATCAAAACTTATTTTTCAAGTAGTGATTTTCAGGGTTCTTTTCACTGGAAATCTTGGGTTTCTCAAGAAACAATGCTTACACAAGCAATGATGTCTTAAACAAAGGCTCTTTAAGACTGCTGTGTGAATTCAACTATTATTCATCTTATTAAAATAATTTGGAATTTATAAAACCTCCGTCTCTCCTGGCTGGCACAGTTTCCTTATCAGAAATTAATTCCCTGCCAAAAATGGTTTGTTTCTGTCTGATGATCTGAAGCAGCTCCTTATAAAACCAAAAGAATTAATTTATTTATTAAGATAACTCACAATTAGGAAGAGGAAAAAGAAGCAGGCAGCTGATTTCATGTGAGACTTCAAATATGAAGTACATTGCTTTAATAACCAGATACTTGGAGTTTGATTGAGTTGATATTATTTATACATTATGATCTGATTAAATATTTTAATTTTAGAGAAAGTCAGTTGCTTATTTCCCTTAAACATGTGAGTATCCTACAGACAAACCAGGTAGTAGAAGTTCTTCCAAGGCTTCCTCACAGCAGCATCCTTTGAGGAATGCAAACCTAGCTGTGGGTAAGGTGAATATTCACAGCTCAAGGTTACAGTCAGAGACCAGTAATACAGAACCATAAACATGACATTAGATGTAAGCTTGAAGGTGTGTGTGTTACCTCCCTGATTTTGTTTATTTATGTGTGTGGTTTCGTGTTTGCATACTGTCAAGTAAAGTTTGATAGTGGCACAGTGTGGACTCTCCAAAGTTTGAATACCTCCCTAACTGAAACGAAGTCTTGCATTTTGCAGAAGTCTTGTATCCCCCACAAAACTGTTATCAAGTATGACTTGCTTCTAATTATCTGTCATTCTAAATCACAACCTCAGCTTTTATGGAGATGAAGCCAATCCTGCAGACAACACTGAGATTCAGCCAACACAAAAGGTGAGCAACAAAGGTGAAGTGTGGAATTTAGTACTTCACATTATTGCCATCTCCTGTAACATAGACAGAAATCCTGTAATCAAAGACCAGAAACAAAATTCTGTGAGTAGACAGATTATTCTAGAGTTCCAATAAGGTTCTGTGACCCAAACTAATCACTTGCACAGTGATTCATTAGTCATATCAGAAATCTAAAATACATGGCATAACTAAACCAAAGCTTGGGTTCTATCTCTACAGTGCTTTTCAGATTGAACTCTGGCTTCCTTTTTGCATGTTCTATTCTGATACTATCCTGTTAATTGTTTTTACATCTTGAATATTTTCTCAGTGTATCTATATCTCAGTCTGCATAGAGAGACATAAATTATGGGAAGACCAACCAAAATTTTGAAAGAGACAGCAGGATATTTATATATTCTGATAACACCCAAAAGGACCTTTAAGGTGCATGGGCTCATTACACTGGACATTAAGCAAATAAAAGTGAGACAAGTTATTTCCTTAAAGGCTTGCAGTCTCAGATATCTGAAGATTGGAATGACCTGATAAGCCAACTCCCATTTATCTTTAGTCTTAAAACAATTTGGCAGCTGTCTACCTCTTGCTCTATTTTCTATAGATTAGAATAATGGAGAAATGTAGTGGATACTTAATTACAGTTTTTCCTTTTTTTACGTCATTTACTGTTCCTAACCTCTTTCTACATCTGTCTTCACTGCATAATAATCTTCGTTCTCCTATGTGTTTTCTCCTTTCTGGCACACAAAGCCCCTTTTTATCCAAGCTTCATCCTGTGGTATCTTTCTCATTCTTTTCTCAGTACAGTTTTGCGAATGAGAGTTTCACTGCACTTCACAGGATGATCTGGTTCATGAGCTGAGCCCTATCTTCAGCTGTAAATATTTTAATATTTTAATAGTTATAGCTGATAGTGACCAGTACACAGAAGGTCCCACAATAGGACTGACAGATTTCTGCTGTCTGGGAAATACTTCAGTGTTTGAAAAGCCTGGAGTTACAGCAAAAATTGTCAGATCAGGTAAAATAGCTCCTACTATGATAAACCTGAGTTCTGTGCTTGGTGGTCTTTAAAACAAGGGCTGAATCATTTAGCCCAGCCTCAAAAGATTTTCTGCAATACTGGAACACCATCGCTCTATGGAAAGCTGACAGAGTTATTTTCTTCATCTTGTTCTAAATACATTGCAAAACAAAAATACTCCCCAAATCCCCCTCCTTCAGCCTGTTTTCCACAAAGCCAATTCACCTGAAGTGTTTAAATTGCTGTCAATAGGAAGCAACGATGATGTACTGCAAAACACCCAGGGACTATAACCAGGTAAGAGCTTCTTTTAGTGGGCACACACAACTGAGAAACTGTAGTAGCAGCCCGCAATAATTGTCACTTCTGATCACCATGGGAACCAAACAGAGGTCTACTTTGCAGAAAACAGATCAGCAGTGACTCACCGACTGCTTGGGAAGCATGATTATTGAGAATTGCTAGACTTGTGTGGGTGACAGGGAATAGTGATGCCATTTCAACCGTAGTCCCGTACAGCAGAGTCTCCTCTGCCAGACAGGCAGGATGAAAACAAGTAAATTAGTACTTTGTGTTCATTAGAGACAAATTCCACCTTTATGATTTTCTGTAGCTTCAGCCTTGTGTGGACTCTTTGCTAGGAAAGGATTTAATTCCTAGTGAATGAAGTTCTAATTGAGATTACACTGGCTCTTACCAAGTCTTCTGCAACTCTCTTACTGACAAGATTTAACCCTTGAGTAACACAGAGATTTAGAGCTGTCGTGTCGTCTGAACTACACTAGGATGTGTATGGCACATAAAAGACAGGCAGTATTTCTGTCTGGACTACCCAGAAACTGAGAAGCTGGGCCCTTACAACAAAGCTCCAGGTCCTGCATTAAGAAGAAAGCAAAACAAATGCACTGTCTTATTAGCGTAGTTCAAAAGAGAAGCTGTCCTTGAGGTGAAATAGTTTGTATGAGACCAAAATTTGCAATACAAGATATTTTGAGTGTTTTTCAGCTGGTCATAAACCGTAGTTTCAATCTCATGCTTTCCTACTCCTACTCCAGAATCCTACTCTAGAATTTTTCAAAATTTGCAAATCCAAGCATAATATTTTTGGGCTGCCTAAGATTCTCAGATCAGAGATTCTGAGATTATAAAGCCCAAATGCACTCTTTGCTGAATTATTTTCACTGGCTCCGCATCTCTGGCTGGAGAAACAGTAACCACTGCAAAGAAAATGGTATTACAGCCCCAACATTTAAATGTTTATTTTTCACAAATGGTAATTCAAGATGTTTTGACAAAACCAAAGTCTATTCCTTAATAATAACTGTCATTCAATGACTGCTTGTGTTCTGTTCTCAGTTTTCCCATTGAAACATCATTTGAGTGCCTCCAAGGATGCCGTCACATGCACAGCTGGCAGCTGGCATATAGGGTTTCTTTTCTGTTCCTCCTCCTAACAGAAATATCCATAGATTGTAAGTTTTGAAAGAGCAGATACACTCATTTCTCCATGAAATGACATGTGCTTTTATTAACAAAGGCTGCTCACCACAGAGGAATTTTCATGAGCAGAAAATCAGTGCCCTAAGTGGAATTTGGCCGGGACAGAATACAGTATGCTGTCACACAGTTTCTAGATTCATGGATCCTTGGGAAAACAAAAGACAAGAGTCTGCAAATTGAAGACAAGGGCATGGTCCTAGCTCTTTAGTTTGATGGGTACAGGCCCACATAGCATAAATTAATGTATGTTTATTTTAGAGGCTGCAGTCCACGATGCTGCACATTTGTCAGTTGGTCTATAAACTTTTCAGATTAAAAGACACAGAGGAACAAAAATACTAAGAAACCACTGTACCTCCCACACATTCAGAGGATGAAACATTAAAAGACCAATTCTGCAAATTGCTTCAAGCTTCTCTGTAGCTCTGCACAGGAAAAACAAGCAGTGATGTAAACCAAGGAAAGTACCCCTTGCAACTGTCCCACCACCAGCTGCGAGGAGCTGTTCGTCAGCAATCACCTCTTTGCTCCCTCTGCCCACACACAGGGCTTCAGATGTCAGTAGCAGAACAGGTAATGTTTGAGTTTAGCCCTGTCCACCACCTTTTTGATGATTCTTCCCAGCAACTGAAGGATAGAAGCAGATAAACAACTGGGTTGATTACTGGCGTCTGCTCTTGGCATTTTTAGCACAAGCTGAATGCTGATGTAGCCTAGGACGACTGGTGCTTTTTCCACTTTGGGAAAGACAACTGTGACCAGGTCAGGCATGGGCCTAATTGCTTTGTACTAAATAAACTCGTGCTATGCAAACCATTTTGGCCATTTGTGGAACATGTGAAGTGGCAACTATACCCTCGCGTATGGTAAGCAGGTAGGAGAAAAGCCTGCATGTTTTTATCACCCAGTTCTACTTGAGTCGTCACCAGCTTGGCTTGCAAGAGCAAGACTGCAGATATAATCTACAGACTTTCATTCATACTGAGAGATATTTTAACACCACATCTTAATCTTCAAGCTTATTTCATCTCGGTTTGCGGTCGATGGTCAAGAATGAGATGCATGTTTGTCTTCAGGAGCTGGAAGCCTGAAATCGTTGATAACCCAAGTAGCAGATTTCTAGAGAACAGCAATAAATAATGTCACAAATAATAAAAAGAGGACAAGCAAGGAATACTTTTAAATATCTCTTTTTGCAAGCCTCACATTAAACTACCACTATTTAAAAGTGAAAGCTGCAAGTTACTGGAAATCATAGTCAATGGTAGTTCATTGGTAGCAATAGGCATCAGTGAAAAGGGCAGGAATTTCATGGTGGCTTATTTCTTCATGTCCAAATTTTCTGGCTTGCTTTGTTTCTTTTAATTTTAAAATTGGTCATTAATGTACAGTAATATATTAACATGGTGCATATTGTTTTGTTGTTGTTGTTTATTTGATTATTTAAAGTGTATGGCATATCAAGTCCCATTAAAAAGAGTTTGACTAAAGAATTATGCAAAAGGCTTTAATAATTTAAATACTCATTCAGCCATCTGTAAATGTACAATCTGTTTTATATTCTATGTGAAACTTACAATTGCTGTTAACTTAATGAATTTTAAAACTTCAACAATTTGCTAAAGTTGTAATAACACTCATCCTGTTTCAATTTGCCATACTGGAGATGCTTATGGATGAGATGGGGATACAAAACTCTAATAACTGATCAAAAATCCTCTACAGGTCAGGAGGATGCAGGACTGGAGTTTAGTCCCACTATCTCTTAAAATACTATCACTCCATCCTTATGCAATGAAATATTATTGTAACATGGAATGGAACACATCATTGTTCATTTTGTTAGTATTTTTTTACATGTAATACTTTATAAAAGAGATATAACTAAATAAAAATATAAACAGACATGCAAGTAACACAATGAAGTATATAATTCTTATTTGAATCAATTTCCTTGAGCAATATCTTTTTAAGAGGTGAAAATTAAACACTAATACTTATCTCACGGTATAAAAGGGACAGTAATAATTATAAAGACCCTTACGGTCTTATGCTCATTTCATCCTATTCTTAAGATTTCTCAGCAAAAATATTAAAATTTGCAATATTCCCAAGAAGATGAAAACCTGTCAAATATATTACTCTGAGGTAAAATGACAATTAATTTACAGGAACCTACCATAGAAACTATTGAGTGGACAGTAGTGATGGTTTTCTATATAAAATCTATCAAAAGTTGTTGGAGAAATTATATGAAGCGTAGCTGATAGCTGATGGAATCTGCAATATGGCCACAGAGAAATAAGTTGCAGATCATCAAAGTTAGCTCATGTGCAGAAACATCCACCATGAGTTCAGCAATTTCATCTTTCACTGGAGAACAGCAGGAGGTTTCCATAATGCAACTATCATAGGAAACTGATTCAACACTGTACTTTAAGCTTTACCCGTAGCTGGAACTTGAAACAGTTTGGATTTTTTGGTGCTCTGATCTCTCTTGCTCTCCAGAAGGCTGTGTAAATATCAAAATCTTCAGCACAAAGACAGCTCTCTCCAAAGCACTGGCAACTGGTCTTAGTAGACTGTTAAAAAAAAATAAAAATAAAAATAATTAGGTAGACTAGTAAAGCAATAGTGGAAAAGCAATACAGGAACATTCCGTACCTAAACCAGAGAACTAGGTCATCACTAGAAGCTGAGAGATTTGTAGTCCATGAACTGGAGACACACATGCACATAAACTTGTGGAGCTCAGAGCACCCTTTGTAGATTTGAAGCTGCTCCTCTGTGTAAGACTTGAGTCAGCAGCTAAGCTCTGATCTTTCATGAATGAAGGCAAAGCACACTTTCAGCCATTTTAAATAGCAAAAAAATGTCAAGTGATTGATTCTATCCAGCCTCAGGCATTCAACTAAAGCACCTTGACAAGGACCTAAGTAACTCAGACTCTGTTCATAAGCCACAGATGGAAAGCTGCAACCTCAAGATGGTGCTTGAGCCTTGGCCTGGTCAAGGGTGATGGTGTTTTTAGCTTAGACATCTCAGAGAATTTACTGAAATTAGCTGGAAAGACCACCTGAAGTTCTCCCTGTTTAAAACTGCTCCTAGAAAAGTTCTGGGGTTTTAACCACTCATATAATCAAGACACTTGTTTTATGTGCTCTGCTCTACAAGGCCTGCATCCAGCATTGGGACCAGTCAAAACTGTGCCTGACTCTTCACCTAAATTAGGAAAGGGCTCTGTTTCTTATGGAAATTGTTGGCAGCTTAATAATTTTCAGTTCCCCACTGGCTAAACATCAAAACAGTTCCCTATCAAAATTTGTCAATGTTTATTTAGTTCAAGTACTGAACGGAAACTTTGTTTGTTTTTATTTTTTCTGCAGACATGAACTTCGAAAGGAATTTTTTTTAACTTAGTTAGTCAAAACTCTTCACTCAGGAATAGAGTCCATAAATCTTAAATGTCCTATTTTAGCTGGTGGAAAATGAAGCCCCCACAGATACTCTCATAGCAAGGGGAAAGCTCCAATACATTACTTAGTGGGTGACACACCATGGTCCTCAAGGTCCTTCCAAAAAAGGAGAAGTTTTCTAACTGCAACTTTCCTCCTTCCTGGAAAAATATTTGTCTCTGCAGATGCTGATCTAAGCACTGCTGATGTACCTCATCTCTCATGGGAGGCCTGAGTATCACAAAGGACATTTGATTTTTATTAGCTCCCAAATGAAGTAATACAGAGTTTCCTTGCTTCTCAGTTCTCAGTTGAGAATTACTACTGTCTAATTTATATCTGCACCCACTGAGAACTGGCCCCTGGTCCAGCCTTTTGAAGTTATGATGCAGCTGGAGATGTAACTTGGTGGGTCCCAGACCAACTTAGAGCATCACAGGGAGCATTGCTATCTTGTTCAACAAATACATGCCAAGCACATGATGTTAATCAAAACATACTGTACCTCGGGCTGTTTGCATCTTGATGTCTTTATTTCCTTCTAATCTTAATTAGAAAACAAAAGACAAAGATAGTTAAAATATTTTTTTAAAAAAAACCCCATGCAACTACGTTAGCACTGTTCCAAAACCAGCTACTTTTATTTTGGTTAATAGTGTTACTGTTTTTCATTTTCTTGTTTTGCAGCAAATTTTGGAAGCATCAGTCAGTGACTAAACTCTGCTGTGCCTATGTGACAGCAGCAATTTTTTTTGTTAAATCAAAAGAATATTACATTATTTCATAATTATATGTTTATGACTTGTCAATTAAATAGCTATAAATCTAATGCTTTCTCCCACTGCTCAAAAATATAACATGGAAAAGAAACAGTTTCTGCTGGGTTTCATGTAAGAACAGAAATAAACCTGAAAGCAAGCACTTACTAACTGTTATTACTGGAATTCACCACAATGCAAGTAAATACCTTCAAAACTAAAAATAGCACCGGGGCTCTGCAAGTGCCATCTATCACAGTCTCTTAGTCCTAACAGGGGTTTATTTTCTTTCAATTCACAGAGCATTCAGAGTGTGGAGAAGCTGTTCAGAAGACCATGTACCTACACTGTCAGCATCTGCTCTAGGATCCTTCTGCAAAAGCGTGTTAAATTTTAAATAAATGGGAACAATCCCTTTGACAAGTATAAATAGCCCCACAGCCATAAGAGGCTTCAAGGCCAGCCAGTCTGTCTGAAATGATAATTGCTTTTTAAAGGACACACATCCTAGATAAAATGATCCCCGGAAAGCAGGAGAAACGCAATCCACAACCTGCCGGTACCTTTGGGTGCAGCTTTCGTCTGACTGGGAGCCATGGCAGCCGCGTCCGCCGGCAGGCCCACGTACACCCCACCATAGTTCCTGGTGGAGAAACAATTACAGGCGTGTCAGAGCTCAGTTGGGACACTTCTCCTCATGAAAGGAGCTATTCTTTTCACTCAAGTTCCTGATATTTATCACCAGACCCCGACTGTCCTGTGAAAATAAACTCCATCCGCCCAGCTTCTTCTGAGTATATCCAGCTGAGGACAGAGCTAATCTGACACTGTTTGACACTGGCACCACCAAAGCACCACACTTGAAGCACCAATTAAACAGCACTTGGACCTCATTAATAAATACAACCAGCCTGCCTCTGCTTAGGGTCACACTTGGGAAAAACTCGTAGCAGAAAGGAGCACAAGTGTCCTAGGTACTTTCATAGCCCGACCATCTCCCCTTCACGGACATGCAGAGTATACTTTCTGCCTCCAAAGAGCCTGTATGAAAAGCAGGGACATATGAAGGGAGGTAAAAAACTGGGTCCTTAAAGCCTCTACTGCACCTGGAGGTACTTGCAGAGGCTCCCTTTACACTTCTCTGCCCTGTTAGGTACTGAATTGATCACACCTCCTCCAGCTCCTGGGGTTCTGAGCCAATTTCTAATTTGCTTGATGATAGACTCATATTTCCTTCAACTCCCAGCCCAGCAGAGGTCTCCCCCAAGTGCTAATGGCACCTTCTGCAGCGGTGTTGGTGTGAAGGCAGAGGCCAGCAGCCCTTATCGAGCACACCACCTACAGCTAGGAGAAAATGTGCTCTTTCTGCCACAAAGTTTCCACCTCCCCAGCTCAGTAACAGGCTGGGTGGACTCATCAATATTCGACTCTGTGTGAGATTTCCTCCTCTCTTTTCGTTTCTCCTCTGCTTTACTGGTGTTGGTGGGAGTTAGGAGGAGGGAAGGGAGGATGTGTAACTGGGGGAAGAACTCACTGCAACCTATTGCAAATAAAGCTAGCCCTGCTGGAGCAGAGCACCTACCTCCTTTTGTCATCATCTGATATGGATTCTTCTGCTCTGCAACATCAAAAGATACAAAGCATGTTAGCAGATTGTTTCTTTCAGGCGCTCCATGACCATCTGGGTAAACTCAGAAGCAAGGGAAAAACTATTACTGACCCCAGTTTAATTCAGGACATCCACTATTCAACAAAGTACTCACAAAGGTATAAAAAAAGGGAGAATTTTCCAATATAATGTACAGAAGAAATAAAGGATTGAGAAAAGATGCTGCTTACTTTTTATGACCCCCACCAGTGAGATCTGAAATTAGATTTGGGAGCAGAAACAGGTAAATTAACATTCTTCCTGAGTGAGTTCCCACACTACTCCCCACATAAAAGGAACATTAAAACTCTGCATGTAACAGGAACAAATCCGGACTGCTATTCCCCCAAAAGAGAAAAGAAAGGGACTGGGTGTCTGTGCTGGCATGTGAGTAAGGATGAAGAGGGAGAAACTTTCACAGCAGCTCTGCCAGAAGCTGTTGCAGTGCTTTTCTATAAAGTGAGGTACTGCAATTCCTGAATTCAATTGTTTGCAAACCAAATGCTATTATTAATCCCATAAAAATGGGCAATTACTTCTCCTTTAACTTTAGGGTAAAACCACAGGTCAGTCTGTACATCAATAGAGAGTCACTAAGGTTTGATTCCTCCCTTCTATACTGTCCAGCTGAACTGGAGCAGGAGGTAAAGTAACCAGCACTCTCATGTGAAGGCAAATGTGATTAAAAAAATGCAAGGAATTTATTTTTACTTTTTAAGTGTGCAACGCCTGTGCTGCAGTCTCAGTCTGTGTCCTGACATTAGTCTTCAGACAAATCACTCACCCACTTTTGATTAAATATTTGGATTTTGAGCTCTATTTCTATGGCTGGGTATGGATGGGGCAGCAGCTGCACTTTAGCTTGATCTGCAATCAATTTATTTATTTTTTCTAAAAGGTTGATGGGCCTGCTTTTTAATCATTGGGGCTCTATGCCCTTCCATGGCCCTGAAGTCGATGGGATTTTGGCCTGAAGAGCAGAGGGCTCATAGCAAGATGCAGTCTTAAGTGCAAGAAAATGTCCTTAAACCTCCTGGGAGGGGAGCACATGCCTTAAAAATACTGCTATGACTTGGAAATTTTCTGACATCTACCGATCAATAAAGTCCTCATTCCCTGGCCCTCCTGCCATCCCCTCCTGGAGGAACTAGAGCCATTTCATAGGGCATTTCCCATCTCCCATGACCCTGCATAGTCACCTAAGTCATCTTACAGTCCAGTCCTCACAGCCAGAGAATGCAGAGGCATTTCTTCTTGAGGACTGGGAAGCTGCTCTGTCTTAATGTGGGCCAGTTTCTCCTGAAGAAAATAGAAAGCCTGTGTATGTCAGTGGGTGGAAACAAGGATGTATTTTTAGAAAATAAATAAATAAATCAATCTACTTTAAGAAAGGGAAGGATGTATTTTTAGAAAATAAATAAATAAATCAATCTACTTTAAGAAAGGGACTTTGGGTCCCAAAAGATCACAAACAGACATTTCTGTTGAACCAATCAAATGTGTCACAGGATCGATTTTCTCGTACAATTGGGAACATTTTCTGTAACCCAGATTAATCATTGTCCAGAGAAAAGAGTCCTTTAAAAGCACTGACAACTTCATGCACAGCTTGAGGCCTCTGAAACGGGGTTGTAAGAATAATAATCAATATTGTCCAACAGGAAATTAATGTCAATTTTTTTTTCTAAAAAAAAAGAAAAATACTCTAATAGGAAACAGGGCCATTTTCTTCTGCTCCAGAAATGTTTTGTAATATGGCATCACAGACCATTACTGTAATTCTCTCACCAAAACAAATTATCCAGGTCTATGATTAAGCAGACAAGCGGGTTTTAAAACATTTTGCTTTCTTCCTTTCCTAGCTATAAATCAAAGTAGTAATTTTGCAATGCCTTTTCCTTCAAATGCATGACAGCAAAAATAATCTGGGATTGTACAGACAACAGCTCTTGGGTTGGGGGCAAACTGTTGTAGCCCTGCCAGAAAAGAAGGAGTGAGCAAAGATAGGAGAAAAAAGGGAGTGTGAGAGGGAAAAGAAAGGAAAACCTGGGTGATGGCATTTAAGGAATAATCCAATTTTACACACCTTTCTGGGGGGTCAGGAAGGAATGCTGCCCCAGTTTGCTCACTACACATATTCACACACCTCTTGTCTTCACACACGATGGCTCAAGACCCCCTTTTGAAAGGTGCCCACTAATTTTGCATGTTTAGTGTCTGTTGAGCCACTGAGGCAGGAGCTGCTCCTGTGCCCAGGCTGGGTGAACCCAGGTGGCTCTGGGGAACAAAGCTACAAGAGCAACAAGATTGGAGAGAAGCTCCTTTGGTTTCAGCAGTGCTCCCGATGCCACATGTCTCGGGCTCACAATGGACACAGGAGTCCAGCAGTCCTCCAGGGACAGCAAGTTTGGATAAGCTTTTCTGCACCAGGAATAGACAGCAAAAAGAACTTAGAAGTCCAAGGTGCTTCGTGCTGACCAAGGCTGCTGTGTCACTGCCTCAGATGCTGTTGACATCTGCAGAGGAACCAGGAGCACGGTTTCCAGCAGGTAGCATGGGCAGAGTCCTAGAGCCAATAGGCAGATTTAGCAGAAAAACCACATAATAAAACCACATAACACTATTTTCAGCTGAATAAGGGTTTCTTTTGGTAAGGATTTGTCTGTCCCAAGAGCCTTCCTGTCACCCAAATTCTGAAAAACACACTTTGTTCATTTGTCATATTTTACATCCATCAGTCCTATGTCCATTTGATGGTAAAAGAAGCTGCCATTCATCACATATTTTAAATGTCAGATGACAGGCATTCACACTAATTAATTCCATCCACATTTTTCTTACCTCAGCTTTTATGGTTCTGTTTGTGCTGAGCATTATTGAGACTCCTTCTAGCTGTGCTCAGTAGTCCCACCAGAAATGATTCATTGAACTTTGAACAAGTGACAGACAACTACTCCTGAGATTCTTGGTGTTTCTTGGGAACAAGAGCCTTTCATTTGTACTTAATGCATCTCCTCTCAATATTTTGAAACAGGCTTGAACTGCTGTGTCCTTTCCTTCCCACTGTAACTAATCCTCCCCCACACTTAGCTGCGTACTGAATACCGCAGGCATTGCATTACTTTCTAGCATAACCTTTACTTCTACAGCTAAGCTGTTCCAATTAGCAGTGATGAATGTTTCTTTATTAGTGGGGCAGGAGCATGGGCTGAAGCTGGCTGACAGGTTCTGGGTTGGAGCACAGAGGGCAGACAGGTTCTCAGAGCACGTGTCCTTCTCGTCACCACACAGCCCTCAGAGAGGAAGAGCCCTATGCAGAGGAAGATCATATCACCATCCCTATCTTATTGGTGGAGAAACTCCAGGCCCAGAGGGCAAAGCAGCTTCCCTGCAGACACCCAGGAGGGTCAGAGCAGGATCCAGCCCTCTACCCTTCCCTCTGGCTGCTCACTCCAGGAGACATGGTGCTTTGGCAATCAGTCACAGTCAAGAAATGAGAAACCAGATTAACCAGAGTTGGTATTAGAAAGCATGTAAGGATTGACACACCTAAATGCTTTTCTGTATTAGAACTGATATGACTGAAATCTGACAGCCAAAAGGAAAAAAAAAGGTTATTTAAAGAAAAGCTTTAGCTGATGAAAGCAAAAAGGTGTAAAAAGCTTTTGTGGATCTATAATACTAGTTAATATAAATCTGTTTTGTTCATTTATATGAAATGAAAATAATTTTTCTGATAGTTTATTTCCTTTATAAAAATCTTCTGTTAAGTATTAGAATGCCTAATTAGGGCTTTTGGGTCATCACTGCCATTCCTCGTTAGTAGATGTGCGTTTTGAACATCTGATGAGAAGGTTTAACTGTGCTGTTACTCATAAGGGTTGTTTGGCTGGCTCCACTATCCTTAATCTGAATGAGTAATAGCTCCAGGACTGACCCTTTCACTTTGTTGAAGGCTGCACTAGTAATTAATTTTTTTCTGAGTTATCTCAATACTATTTTGAAACATGACAGATGAACTCACACTAGTAAGTAGGATGCTTCCATTTTAACTCCTGCAGCCTGGCTCTATAAATGCTTACACACATATAAACATAGTTCTACACATCCCCATACCTTTAAGCACAGGAACATGCCTACAGCGTTCATAATTTAACATTACATGTGATTTTGAAATTTAAAACTACTGATGAGCAAAGAGAAAGATGCAGTTCTAAGCCAGTCCTTAAATCATCTAAATTGAACAATAAAAAAGACCCTGATAGAAATTAAACCAGTGGGTTTGTAAATACAGAAGTAGTGAGGGCAGTGATGCTGCAGGCTGCATCAAGAGGAGGTTCCTTACAAGACTGCCTTCTGTAATTTATTTATTGTCTGGCACTGCAAGCCCAGAAAACAGACTACAGAGGTAACACAGATCTCAAGAGTATCTGTGGCAACAGAGCTGATCAGCCAAGTGACACCTGTTGTTAGTTCTCAGCTGTGCTCTGTAATAGCAAGAACAAGCCTGTTGTTAAGCTCTTCCCTCCACTTGTTTATCTGACTCAACTGCCCTCATTTCTACACCAGGATTCCTCCATCTAATTAGAGTAGTTATTCTAAGTGAAGTAAATAGAACAGCAGAATGTTCCTATTGCATAACATAACAATCTTTCCCAGGTCCCTCAGTCACAAACTCTAGTGGCAAATACCAATTACAAGTAATAGGAGAAGGCAAGACCTCAGGAGGAGTTCTTTATGGTTTTCTTTGATAGAAAAATACATTCATGGCTGAATAAAGCTGTTCCTGTATCAGCAAATAAGAACAGCTCTAAAAAAGACCTTGCACATTTAGAGAAAAACAGGATGGGTAGGGCTGTCCTCTGCTTACCCAATGCCAACCTAATAGATGCTATCTTTAATGCAGAGAATGCTTAGAGAAGGTGGGTACTTTGAAAAGGAAGTTGGATGGGTTAGTGGGTCTCATGAAAAGAGGGGGAATTTTCTCAGTGGTTTTCTAAACCTCTCACTGGGCCTGGTGGAAATTTATGTGATGGCTCCATAAAATTACATGGCCTTTGGAAAGAGGTGCAGTGGCACATGATGGGGAAAAGCAGTCTGAAGTTACATAACCACCTCTGCTAGACAACTGTCTCAACAGAAGCAGAGAAAAGAAATTTCTTTTAGAGAAATAACAAGCAAAGAAATCTGTAGAAAAGTAAACAAGACAAGGAACTGTTTTGTGGAGATGAAAGCTGTCACTAAAGACAGTAAACATCTGGTTGTGTTGATTATATGTTAGGATCCAGATGAATCATGCATGACTAAATCTAGTATAAGGCTACTAGGACTGAAAATATGTCCGGGGTTATATATTTAAAAGAGTTGAGTAGAATAAGTACTTACACATCTTTAGTAGTCCCTGTAGCACCTAGGAAAAAAAAAAAAAAATCAAAATATGTTTACCAGGTAATGGCAAAACAACACAGAAATAGCAACAAAATTTGCTACTGTAAGAGAACATACTTCTCATGATTGTTTAGTTTATCCTTAATGATTATCCATACTATCCCTTAAATCTATCACATCTGGACCAGACTCTCCATGTGTGAAAATGATGCTGCTGTGGACCAGTGCGCAGGTGCAGTCACTCAAAATGGGAGCAACATAAGAAAAATATAATTTTTCTGAATTTTATATGCTTCCATTTGCTCAGTCCTTTGGTGGGTTTGTCTGCCACAAAGCTGGCACAAATAACCAGGCAGTTACTCCCAAATGCCCTATTATTCTGCCATTTGATGCAGTTGTAGAGCTGGCATCACATGTGTAAAATGCTGCCTCGTTTTTCCTGCCAGATAAACAAAGTTTTAAAGAATGACTAGACAGGACTAATTTAAACATTGGGACACAACACCTCCAAAGCCCCAGACAGCTAATGAGATCAGCCACCCCTTAACTCATCTTGCTATTTAAAAAAAAACAAAGAGACAAAAGCTTCCACCTGGCTGCCTGGTGTAAGAGACTGACTTTTCTGTTTTGGTGACTCAGATGTTTCTTGCTGGGAGACATTTACTCAAGTATAAACTCTTTCTTGTTCCTCCCAAGTTACTAATGTTATGTTGCTCTTGCTAGTATATAATTCAGCTGAGTAGCCAGTAAATTATCCCTTCTATTAATTATAGAAGTTAGGGCAGACATTAGAAAAACCTTTCACTTCTCCTTTCCTCTTAATACTTAGCTGGAAAAGGTTATCTGACCTCACTCTGAGGAAACTGAAGTTGCCAATCCCAGAGATTTTTTAGTTTGGAGGTAAGCTGTGGTTTTTTTCCTCTCATGGTACTTAATTTTTGGGAAAAAAATTATTTCTTCTGCTGCTGAAAAATGTACATAAGTAGAAAATACCTTTCATCTCCCTTTGATGTGTAAGAATATGCCTTTTGCATTCTTGTTTTAAACAAGGGGAAGAAATAGACCTGCAAGGCTTTCCAGCTCTGTCTACCTGAATGGATTGCTTGAATGGCAGAAAACATCACCCTTTACAGATAATTCCTGAACATACTGTCATTCCCATTTCCTGTGATCTGACTATCCCTCCTTTTCCCAGCAACAACACAGACTAGACTCGTATAAGACTGTACACATTTCTTCTGTTAGTCTTGCTTCCAGAGTCAGCAAAATCTCAGTATGGCTACACATACCAGCAGAAAGCCTTAATTAAGTTGGAGGGAGTATCTCTAGTCACAATAAGCCCAGGCCCTTGCTCTAAAACTTTACTCCACCAGGCAGCCTTCTGAGACTTTTTGGCTTTGCAGGCACATGTATGGAGCACTACATGTAAACCTCTCAAATTAATTCAAGGTGGAAGGCTGGCATTGCTGTGTGAGCTCAATCTCTGCCAATGCAGGGAGACATTTTCTGCTCATTCATCCAGAGTCAGCTCAGCAATGAGTCTTCAGGGCACCCCTTGTAGACCTAGACAGAGCCCAGGCATCAGCAATACTTCAGACAACACATGTTTTGAAAAGCCTAGCTGGAACTAGCAGGATTCTTAATTTTTTCCAGAAGAAACTATTCCTTTGCTGTCCCTGTTCTGCACGAGGGCCGTGACTTACTTATTTTTAGTCTAAACTCTCTGCAGTCAAAATCAGTATCTCTGAAAAGGTTCATGGCCCTTTCTGAGGCCTTTGCCAAGACTTTTCTGAGTCTAAGCACCTTGGATGCCCATCTGAAAAATGTCTTCCTTGCAGAAACTACAGCAAAAATACAGTGTTTAATACACAAACTCAAGCCAAATGAGAACTGTGTGCCTACAGTACTGCTACACTCCCCAGAGGTGATACTCACGTTCCAATCACTGGGTGCACTTCAGTGCCATATCCACCTTCAGTGCCATGCCTGTCTTCAGTGCATTGTGGTACAAACAGATTCTCACTCTGGAGACAGGAGATGTCACTCAGACCCATCAGCCTGGGCTTTGTGTAGAACTATACAATCCTGTGTTTGGAAATGTGCCACTAACGTTCACACATGGCAGCACTTGCTTTCTTGGAACATTAGCAAGGTTACCACTGCTGAAAAATCACTGCAGTGTTTTGAAATGCATTTCACACAAACTTTGAGAACTGAGTATGACAAAAACAAATTCACTTTTTAAGCGATCAGTTCTACTTTTATAATAAATTAAAAATATATATATAAAAAGAAATACATTGTTTTCTACTTTTTTTATAAGCACAGCAAACCAGTTTATCCTCACTTTCATTGATGGGATTCCATTAATTTCAGTGGGGTTACTTCCCATTTTCACTAGCAAAAGTGAAACAAGTATTTGGTTCAAATTCACTCAAGTACCACTAAAGTACCTGACAATAAATCTGAGAGTGTTTCCAGTTAACAAAGGAGCTTTCTTCCTGCAAGAGTTCTGAGCTTACAAATGAACATCATTTTAACTAGGTGTGCTATAAAAAAATGTCTGGGTAAAAACTTTAAAGGTTTTCTTCATTATGGAGCCTGAACATTCCTTACACATAGATATTATTTCTCAAGGAACCAAAACCATCTCGGTTCATACAGATGTGTTTATTTGTAAAGTCCAATCCATTCACCCTCACCCTGTTACTTCACTGACATATTTGTCTAACTCTTGCATGTTTAGCGAGCAACACAATTTTATTGCTACTCAAGTTCCATCTGCCAGAAGTTCAGCCAAAGAATCTTGTTTACTACCGATCCACAAACACTCTACAGCTCATTCCATAGCAGCAAGGCTTAATGCTCTCATAGATATGATGGTTCTCATAGATATGATGGTTTCCATAAATGACTTGAGAAAAGGCTCACATATATAAAGCTTGTCCATCTTTTCCCCACTGTAAGAGCTTGCCCTAAAAAAAAAAAAGCAGCTCTTGACTCTACAAGCCTTGTCTCGATAGGCTCTTGTTCGCTTGGTTTTTCAATCCTAACCTCAGCAAGAGACTGCAGAGTAGCTACGAAGCCACATCCATAAAAAATAGGAAATTTTGTACTGAATTGTCCTGAATTACTTCTCTGCTCAAACCATTTACACAGTAGGACCATGGATGCATTTTGGCATTTTAGAGCTGCAGAAGAAGAAAGAGTACAGCCTTACAGGCCCACTCAGCCACACATTGCTCTGAGCCCCAGTGATTACAGAAGAGAAGCATTCTGTCTAGACTGGAGCTGTGATCCCTCAAAAAAAAACCCCCAGCATTTAAACAGTCACAAGTCAAAAAGAAGAATTTATCCCAAAGCATCTTCCATTAGGTGAGAGGGAGGTTTTGCTCTTTTAGAACAACAGCAGCTTCTCTTGGCAACACCGCAGGACTTCAGTAAATGCAGGCCTAATGCGAAAGATGGTTGAGAGACATCGATATCCACAGAGGATATTCCTCTGTGCTGAGAAATGCAAAGTGAAGGTGAGAGGCAAAAGCTTCAGAAAAACATAAAAAGCATGAGAGACAACTACTCACATTAATAAAATGGATACAAAAAAAGCCAGGACCTGACTTTTGAGCAGATTATGAAACATTTTCTTAATCTTCTTTACTGAAAAATGCCCTGTGACATTTTCTTGCATATCAAATTGTTACAAAAACCAAATAAAACCCCTCCAAATTACACACATGTGCATGCAACTCTTAAGAATGACTTTACTACTGCAGGCTTCTTTCTGATGTGCTCCTACAGTCAGCAATAAGGAAGTGTGTTCTAACATCAGTGAATTTATTCTATTTATACCCCATTGTAACTGAGGATAGAATATTATCAATTTGTTTCACATTGATTATTTCTTCAGCTCATCAGGTGGGAGCTCTGTACACAGATTTGACCCAGTCAACAGAATGGCACGATGACTTCTGGGCATTGCACCAAACTTGAAGTTAATATATCTGTTAAAACTCGGTGTGAAAGTTCTCCTTCATCATAACTTGACTGTATATGAAGCTTTCCACAGACTGACAGCTTCTCTATATATTTAAATTAAGGCAAGAGTGACAGACTCTCCAAAGAGTACCATAATTTAAGGTGCTGTCATTGCTACTACAATAGATACAGAAAGGAAGAGGCAGTTTAAAAATTTTAGTGAAGAATCAACAGAGTGAAGGGAAATGCCTTAACTCAGAAAAAAAAAAGGAAATGAATGTTTAAGAGCATCTTTTTAAAAGATGCACACACACACAAAAAATAGAGGCTATTTTTTGTGCTTCTAAAGCTCCAGGAAATAATCAAAGAAGGATATGTAAAATGAGACAACAAAACATAAGGAAAACACCAATGAGAAATAAAAAATAACTATAATCCATAGTTAATACATGAAACAGCTAGGTAGTTTATGAAGGATGTATATACACCAGTTTACTTGGATAACTGAAGTTGCCATTTCTCAATTGAAGAGCTTTTTGCCACTGTCTGATACCCTGGAAAGAATATTTGAATGCTGTGAGTTATATTGGTGTTCTGGAGTACTGCACCACAGACTGAAATGTTATTCTAGATCATGTCTATTAGTTTAGATCTCACAGACCGTAGAGCTGAAAGCTCTGATGTCATTCCAGCCATGCAACTGAAGATAATATCATTAGCTGAGCTATCACCATATATACATCTGCTTTGGAAAAATCAAATTAGACTACAATAGAAATTTTACAAGAGTAAGAAAATGGGGATTGGTGTAACACATTTAATGTGTTCCATGAAGTCTACTACAATATTATACTTAGTCATATGATATGACAGAGAGTGTTACAGGTTAATTACATGCTATGTACCTCTAGCTTTGACATTACTGACTACAGAATAGTCATAACTTTAGCATTAAACATGTAGTCATGCTGTGCATGCCACAAAATTCATTTGTTTTTACACAGTCCTCACATCTTTAGGTAAAATTGTGAGTTGCATTTTCCTTAAAAGCTTGAGGATCCAGAATAAAAATGGCAAGTCCTCTCTTTCGCCTTTATAAAATAATTTTATTTTTATTAGACACACTTTGTAAGGAATGTTAAATGAAGCAAATAAATAGTAGACATCTGACGTCTTACTTTTATTACCAGCTGTTTGTTATTTTAAGACCATAGACTGCACAGAGTAATTCCTTACTGACAGTGGTGAAAGTGAGAAGAGAACTGGACCTTTCAGAGCTGCATTGGATTTGGAAAGGTCTATCAATGCAACAGTAATAATTCCATTATACTAATGATGTGTTTTATGTGGCATTGTTGGTTTTTACCTGCACTAAGCCCTTAGAGATCTGTGGACTATTTCTAAAGAGCATGCAAAAGTTTACCAAAAAATGCAAGTTCAAGTATTTTAGGTATAACATGTAAGTTTAACTATCAAAGGGGTTGGACCTTCAGTGAAAATACTTTATGTATCTACAAGCCAAAACCTGTTGAAGACAACTACCTCTAACACAATAGGACACATTTAAACAAACTTTGAGTTCAAAATAATACTGCTGCCAGAGTTAGTCTACTTGACATTTACCCATTTGTACCCCAGTACAAGTTCCACAGGGCACTCAGATCAACATTAACTTAGAAACTACCACAAATGGACTAATAATTTACTCAACATTCTTGTCTGAACTTCTCTGAAGCTTGCACTGGTTCTCTGAAGCTTTTACCCAGCAAACAGAAATGGGATGTGAACAAGCATCAGCCCAGAGATATGAAGCTAGACTGGTCATATGCAGAAAGAACTTCCAGTCACAGCAATGCGGGAATCAATTAAAGGGAGAGGATTCGTGTGTGCAAACAGGACAGCTCTAATAAGCTGAACTGAATGTTCAAGCCAATTCACACAGCGCATCCTTTATGGATGAGAGAAGCCTCTGTAGACAGACGTAGTACCTAAAACCTAACTCATAATAATTTAATAGAAACCAAGCAAGGAGTGGCAGAATCACATTCCCTTCCAAGTGGGAAGTGCAGAGTTGAACAGGTAAACCAACAAGACACCCCACAAGCATACACACACATATACACCCTAGCAAAGACAGCATCACTCACACCCACAGGCAGGACCAAGTCAGGACTAGCACCACCCAAGGCAACACTGGAGCCCTGATTAAATCAAGCCAGAACACTAAGAGAGGGGGACCCAGTAATTCTAAGTGGTCGAACCATTATTTTGCTGTGTATTTTCAAGAGCTGACAGCTCTCAAGTGCATATGAAAGGCTTGATAAAGGTACTGGAACAGATGGCAATGTTTGCCAAGTGCAGCTAGGATGAAAAATGATTGAGAAATGCTCATATTATAATTACAGGGTGAAGGTCCACTTATCAGTTTCCATGTACTTTCCCATTCTGCGGGGGCAGGGGGGAGAAAGAGCACAACAGCACCATCTTCCCAGACCTTATCTCTTTTGAAAATAGCAATGAACAAATAAGGAGCCAGCTGGACGCACCAGCCAGCAGTAGACATTAATTAACATGCACGAAACCTCAATCACGGAATATCCTCCAACTTCTCCAAGAAGCAAAAGGAGAAGATGTGGCACAAATTCATTTCAGAAGTGGCATTCGTGGCCTTATAGGGAAGCGCAGAGGATGGAGCCGACACCCCCGGCGGGATCCAGCTCCCGGCCTGGGCTCGCCGTGCCTCGGGCAGCCCGGAGCGGTGATTCGAGCCACAACCGGGCACC